CTCCTTCCTCAAGTGAGGAACACACACCCTCTTTGCATGAGGAGTCACCTGAAGAAGAATCTCTTTCGCCGGAGCCGCCACCACGCTCTCGCCGGAAGACCGCATCTACTAGCCGTAACGAGCCACCTCCAGACTACGATACCACACGATTCACATCGTTTGAAAACCAACAGTGGTATGAAGCTGGACTGGACAAGGAGATCATAATTGAGAAGCACTTGGCACTGGAGGTGGACGTGCACTATCACATTTCTACAGCATTCAAGAGACTTGGATGGGAGAGCATCCTTCAGTTGTCCAAGCACCACTACCCCAATCTGGTCCGGGAGTTCTACGTTAATGTAGAAAACAAACAGAGCCACAGTGGTAACCTCATTGTCTCATGGGTTCGAGGCAGGAGAGTAGCTCTCAATTGAGATACACTGAGACGCTTCGTCCAACTCAAAGACGAAGGCGAAGATGTCAAATTGACTAAGGAGTTCAAGGCTCGAGACCCTTGGTAGGTGGGAGAGGCGGTTGGACGCCTCAAGGGCCAGTATCGAGAGAGAGGAACTACGAAGAAGCTTACAGTTTACGCCGATTCCTTCGAGCATAGGTATCACTTGATTTTCTACCTCTTTGCCTTCAATGTGGTACCAAAAAGAAGTGGAAAACGGGAGCTCCGCAACAGTGATCTCTACTTCTTGGACAAGATGATGCATGGTGTGGGTGAGCAGTTGACCGGTATTCCTCTACCCAGCATTATCATCAGTTATATGCGGACCACGGCTTGCATGAGGGCCGGCGAGACTTGCTTCGGATTTCCTCGACTGCTATCCCTCATTTTTGAGAAGCTCAAAGTTCCTCTTGGAACCGAGAGAGCTGTGGTAACTAGGTCGGCCGAGGAGGTAAATTCTTCGATACTCAAATCCTTAGGTATTTCTACGCATTTTGGAGCTGCTCTGGTCTGGGACACAGGAGAAGCATCGACTTCCACTCAACCTCCGCCTTACACTGAACCACAAGCGGAAACTCAAGAGACGTCGGAGGCACAGCAGACTCTTTCTCCTCCTGTTCCGCGACCACCTCCTCCACCGAGCTCCAAGTGGCAAGAGCTCCTCAATGCCATTTGTTGTATGGAGGCAAGAGTCGTCGAGCGTATTGACCAGACCGAGCGGATGATGACAGAGCGACTCGACAGACATGATTGCCGTCTTCGTGCGATCGAGAATCATTTTCATATCCACCGGTCCCCTACTACGACACCTCAGCAGGAGGAGGGCCATATTGGTACCTCACAGGGTCCTCATGGAGCCGAGGAGGCAGTAGACCCTCGTTCCGAGCAGCCATGATGCTTCTTAGCGGATTGGATCCTTTATTTCTTTATTTTTCTTTTCTTTTGTTAAGACAAACTGTGTAGATTTTATTTTTCTTTTATTTGAATCATCTTGTGCTACTTATGGTGTTTGATACCCTTGTTGTCTCATTTTAGACAGAATTTGGATGATCGTGATGATTAAGGGCTTCAAATTGCATCACCACCTATTTGAGGGAAGTTTCAGTTTCTTTTACCTTCCTTTACAATGAGGACATTGTAGATTTTAAGTGTGGGGGAGGGATTACTTTATTTTATGGATAATTGTGTCTTAAAATGCATGATTTTAGTGTTTATGGCTTAAAAATGTTGGAATTATATTTGGAAATATGGTCATAAGGATAATTTTTGTGAAATTGAGGTTGTTGGCAGGGAGTTTTGTCCATTTTTATGGGGAAACTCTGTCAAAATCTTTCTAAAATATTTTCCAATATTTCATTGCAATTCTTTCAATTAAATGGCCAAAATGTTAAAATTTTAAGTGTCTAATTCTTCCATTAGATAAAATGCTATATGTATTTTGGAAAAATTTAGTCCTTATTTGGCTTGGAATGAATTATTATGCAATTAGGATTTTTACATTTTAGAAAGTATATTTAGTTAAATAAGAAAAATTATGCTTAGAATTTTGCATGATTAATGATATTTCTCATTTTTACTTAATTTTATAAGTAAGTGATTGATATAGTCAAGACAAGGCCAAATGCTTCCTTTAATTATGCTTAGAGGGAAAAAGAAATTATATGGTGTTGAAAAAAAAAGAGAATAATATTATTAATTTTCTATTCCAATGATTCACATACTGAGTAATCGGGGGTTAGCATTTACAAATGTCGACATTCGTGTAAAAAGGTATTGGAATTAAGAGTATGCTTAGCAATTTGAATAAGTGAAATGTTGAGTAACCGGAAATTTTCACCTAAAAGTGTTGATTTTCGCGTAAAAAGACATTTTCACTATTTAAATAAGATGAAATGTGAATAAATCCCTCTAAATTGTTAAGTTTTGGGATGAGGAAGGCCATAAAATTGACTATATGATTTACTTATTGGTGGAATTAGAATAGAATGAGAGATTGATTTGAATTTGTTGAAATTAAGGCATAATTATTTTTATTTAATTGAATATTATGAGTATTTAGTGTAATATGAGAAATGACATAATGATTGGTTTCTAGATTTTTGAGGAATTAAATTTGACAAAAGTACGAATATTGTTTTATCTATTGAATCATTGTAGTAAGTACTTTTGTGTAAAATTGCTTGAGGACAAGCAATGATTCAAGTGTGGGGGAATTTGATAAGTGGATATTTAACGTACATTTTGTACAAATTTGGCATGAATTTTTGGTATGTTTTGAGAAGATTAAAGCCATATTTGAACTCTTTTGGTGATAATTGCTTAAATATTGTTTAAGTGTTCAAAACTTGATAAATGAGTGGATTAATGCGTTAATTTTGTGAAATTGTGAAGGTTATTGATGTATGAAATTCATGCATGAGTTGAAAGAAATGTAAGGATCGTCTAGAGGACAAAGTACAAAAGAAATTGGGAGCAAAAATGTAGAAAAAGGAAAGAAGTGAAAAACTGGAAAAATTGATCAACACGGATCCGAGCTCAGATCCGTGTAAACAAGAGGGATCCGAGCTCTCGTCTGTACTTCGGGAGGAGTGTATCCGAGATCAGAACGATCCGACCTCGGATCCATCATGGAAAGTCCTCGGATCCACAAATCCGAGCCCGAATCCATTATCACCCCTCGGATCTGGGGCTCGGATCTGCCTCTCTCCTCAGCAAGTGGCACAGCCGTTTTTCTTTACCTTTTTCACAACTTTTCCAGCTATTTTGAGGGACAGAAATCGGTGGCACATGCTTCTGCAACAAAAGAGAAGACCAAATGAGTGTAGACAAAAAGAAACATCATATCTTTGACTTCTTTTTACAAAATCTGAGTGGAGGAAATTATGAAGGAAAAGAGAGACTTTCTACCACTTTTTATGCAGAAACACAGGGGAGAGGTGAGGGGATTACCATACGTAGCTAGTTTTTCATCTTGTAACATTTTTCTCTCTAGATAGGAGTTTTTGGAGAAGCATTTTTTTGGAGTGTTTCACTTGTAATCATATTGTGCAAGAGTATAGCAGGAATTGGAGAGCTTCACCTTCAATTGGCTAAATTTTCTTTTATCTTTCTTATACTTGTACTTTATGATGTTTTACATTAATAAACTTGTGAATTTGATTGTTAAATCATTCATGAGTAGCTAATTTTTTTTATCTAGGGAGTAGATGAAACTTATGGCTAAATAATATGAATTGAATGTAATTTACACTTGTTATATATTGTATTAACTTGTCTACTTGTGTAGCTGTGATTACTTGTTATTGATTGATCACCAATAGCTTGTTTATAGTTGTTATTGTTCAATGAGAATTGGTAATAACAATGGAAACATATGAGTAGAGCTTGAGTTGTATGTTCATGAAAATAGAGATACACTTAGGTGGATTATTTAGCATTTCATGAAATAAAACAGAGTAGTAGTAGTATTTCACCATGAAAATAGGGAAATCTATATTGCTTTAGGCCATTTCATCATGAAAATGGGACTTGGAAACTTTGGAAATGAATCTCTGGTTAAACAAGAATAATAGCAAGAAGTAAGTCCATTCATTTGTGTTGTTTATGCCATAAGTGGAATCTACATCCCTAGAATCTTTCTTAAGTGAAATTTCTCTATTTGCTTTCAGCATTTGTTAAACCAGATTTGTATATCAGATTTGTAGACTACAGCATTATACTTTCTCTACTCAAATTAATTATAAGTCTAAATAATAGAGAAAACAAGGGCTTAGTAATTGTTTAAATTGCTCCTCGTGGGATCGACCCGATACACATCTTGTACTACAATTGCGATCTGTATACTTGCAGTCCAACAGGTGTAAAATTGGAATTAAACTTGCATTGATATAAAAATCCCGTCAGCCCATGTAGTCATAAATGTCACAAACGACATTGCATCAGCTACCTTATGTGAAATGCAAACTCCAATTGCCATGCCTCCACATTCAAAGAAACTGATTTGAATAGCTAATGGTATGTTATCGGCATCATGGGCATAGAGCTCTAAGGGGAGATATTGGTTTAGCTCCTCTATGGCTGTACTTTGGGATAACTTTTCTGATAGTTGAGCGTGAACTTGAGCTTCAATAAAAAGAGCTCCGGAGTCATCACAATCAATGAAGCAAAGATTGGAGTCATTGATCCTTCCGGCTAATGGGTAAAATCTTGTTAATGACTCTGATAAAGACTGTTTTAGATGCTGGCATCTTTGGGAATTATCAACATTCGAGGACTCATGTTTTTGATAGAAGAAAATTAGAGGGACAAAATTGGGCGGTGCAATTTGATCTAGAAAGGATAGTTTCACGTCTTTTTACTATCCATGGTTGTTGGAGATGATGGCTTTATGAACTCCTTCGATATTATCTCCATTTTAGCCAGCATTTTTCGTACAAATAGTCTGCTAAGTTTTATCGTTTATGAACCCTCATAAGTTTTCTGCTCCCTAAATAGAAAAATGTAAGGACTTGGACCCGTTCATGGCAACTTACTTGATGCTACCAATTGCAGTTTTAATTAATTAATGGCAATGATTGCCAGCAACTTTGCTAAGCAAGCTGGCCAAGTTTCCTCTTTTCCACTGTAAGATTAACGAGCTTTCTTGCATCTGTGACAAATCTAAGAGTCTTTGTTTCTTGCCCGCAACCAAGTGCACTAGAAATCATTGTAATCATGTGTTTTTGCTTGCTCATTTGAACAGTTAATCATTCGCATGATTAAGTGGAAGTGGCATGAATAGCGCACTCCTTTAAGCCTAGAGATAATTAGATCTCATATTTAGGAGGGTAAAATGTCCAAAACTAAATTTTGAGGATTGAAGTGGGATGAATGTCACATTTTAAAGGGTAAAGTATCAAAAATGAAGTTCAAAAACTAAAGTGGAAATGCAGCTATTTTATGGGTCCAAAGTGGAATTTAGCCTAATACGTATATATATACATAAAAGCTCTTAATTCAATTATCCATTTTCTCTCTCTTAAGTGGCATGTCTGGTTGAAAAAAATTATTAAATTGTTAAATATTTGAATTTTACCCATTTTTTTATCCAACTATTTTCTAATAAATTCAAGACCGGGTTCAATTGTTGGAGCAGCTATTGCAGCTTCCTTGAGTGTTCCAGCAGAAACAGTTCGCAGTGTCACATTTTCACTGGTATGGGACTGTCCTGAAGTGAACTTCTTAGGTGGAAGGACTTACCACAGGCCAGTAGTGAATGACACGTTTCTAATATTTTTGTTTTCACAAGCTAGCTTCTGTAGTTCTCATAACTCAGATGCGTACATACAGGCGGTATACAAAATATTATGGAGCTTCTGGAAATGCAGCATCTGCAATTGCACGTGATGCTATTATTGGTAATTTTCCAACTGATGCTGAAGGCTTTGTGACATTTTAGTTTTGTAAAACATACAAAAATATTTATATGGAAAAGACAGATGAAAATAGAATTAGCATGTATGCCCTTCTCATTCTCAATAGTACTTATTAAATTACTAAGTTTGTTACTTTGCCCTTGAGTTATGAATCTTAGTCTTAGAGCATGAAAATTGGGAGTCGCAAATAGAAGCTTGGCAAAGGCCCATTCTTGAAGACGAAATCCTTCCTGAATGGTAAGCTTTCATATCTTTGTTGCCTGTGTGTATCATGAAGCTCACTTTCAAGATGGTTCATTTCAGGTATCGTATCACTCTTTTCAATGAACTCTATTACCTTAATACAGGAGGATCAATTTGGACAGGTACATGGGGATAACAAATCTTTATGGTCTAGCGCTAAATTGATTTGGCTGAATGCTCTTAAATATATTTTGTTATACAGATGGATTACCAGCTGTGCATAGTTTATCTGCCACACAGGACAAAAGGTTTTCACTCGGTAGATCATTTTCAGCTCTCAAAAACACCATCAGTCATTCCAATCAAAGTGACACTGCTACAAACATCCTAGCAAGAATGTGTTCAACATTTGAGGAGATTCATTCTCCTATGTCGTTGAATTCTGCCTCTGGAAAAAATCTGCTTCAAAGCGGGGAGGAAAACGTTGGGGTGAATTCTTAGTTTATGATGAAAAAAAAAAGGAATTCTACAACTGGGGCCTTTTTTGGAGACTATTCTGCAAATAGGGTCTTCGCATTCCGCGAATGCGAGCTCAATAAGCTTAAATTTGGGAGAGCTTGCATTTCTATGACTTTAAGCTGTCCCGGGGAAACAAAATTTTGTGAGCTCCAGCTCTTTCCCCTGCTCAGCTACTCGGAGAGCTACTCGGAGAACTAAAATCTGCTATCAGAGTTCTTTTCACAAATTCAGAAAAGAAATCTGGGCAACCATACCAAGTGACGGATAATTCTCGTAGGCATCTCATTGTTAGTACTGTTAAAGTATTCAGTGTGATCCCAGTTCAGCAGCAGATAACTGCCAGAAGTTGCACATCTGACTATTCAGGCAAGTAAAACCAGTACATAGACCATCATATTGACAGCATTTACAACACTTTCTCAATGCCAATGCAGGTGTCATTTGGGATAGCGTAAATGCCCAAAGCTTAAATTTGGGAGAGCTCGCATTCCGCGAATGCGAGCTCTATTGCCCTTCAAAAAAAAAATTGCGAAAAATTCTGCTGAGCTCGCATTCCTGGAATGCGAGCTCTGGTGAGCTCGCATTCATGGAATGCGAAGATCCCCCTTACGGAATACCTCACCAAAATCACCCCTTTTGTAGAATTTTTTTAAATTTCATCACAAACTTGGAAATTTCTCGAAAACGTTGGCCAGTTCCTCTATCTTGAAGGAATTGAGTATCACATGTGTAATGCCTATGATGTTCACTTTTATGCGTCATTTCCCTTACTTATGCTCTTCCCAAAACTTGAACTTAGCATCCAAAGAGACTTTGCTGCTGCAGTTTTGATGCATGACCCCAGTGATAAGAGACTTTTGCATGATGGAAGCTTGGTTTCAAGAAAAGTTCTTGGTGCTGTTCCTCATGATATTGGAATGAATGATCCATGGTTTGAAGTAAATGTCTTCAGCCTTCACAACACTGATAGGTGGAAAGATTTGAACCCAAAGTTTGTTCTGCGAGTTTATAGGGATGTGGTCGCAACTTGTGATGAAAAATTTGCCGAAGCTGTTTGGCGGTCAGCTATGTTGCAATGGCTTATATGGATCAATTTGACAAGGATGGGGATGGGATGATTGAAAATGAAGGGTTTCCTGATCAGACATATGATACATGGTCTATGTCTGGAGTGAGTGCATACTGTGGTGGGCTATGGGTTGCTGCCCTGCAAGCTGCTTCAGCACTGGCTGGTGAAGTTGGTGACAAGGGTTCTGAGGACTACTTTTGGTTCAAATTTCAGAAGGCAAAGAGAGTGTATGGAAAATTATGGAATGGATCGTACTTTGACTATGACAATAGTGGTTGCAGTGCCGGTTCTTCAATTCAAGCGGATCAGTTGGCTGGACAGTGGTAGGTTTCGTACATAAATTTTCTTCACATATTCTATATGCTGTGATTGATTGTCAAATGAATGTGTTTGGTTGTCGAGTGAAGAAGAGTTATGAAACAAGTATACTACTGTAATCTAGTGAAGGTTGTGAAGGGCATGAACACATAGTGTAAAATGTAAATTTTCATTTTGTATGTTAGTTCAAGATGAAGAAACTGCTTCTTTCATGAACAATCAACACCTAATTTGAGAAAAATTTTGGTAGGTATGCTCGTGCTTGTGGTCTATTACCCATAGTTGATGAAGAGAAAGCAAAAATTGCCCTAGAGACCATTTACAATTTCAATGTCTTAAGGGTAAAAGATGGAAGGATTGGAGCTCTTAACGGGATGCTGCCTAGTGGAGAACCAGACGTGTCTCACCACCAATCAAGGGAAATATGGAGTGGAGTTACATATGCTGTTGCTGCAGCCATGATGCAGGAAGATCTAATCGAGATGGCATTTAAAACAGCAGGTGGAGTCCATGAAGTTGCTTGGGCAAAAGAAGGTTTTGGGTATGTTAACACCGTCATTTCTTCTCCCTTAATGATGAAAGTTCCTAGAATTTAGAAACTTCTGACTCTGTTTGTCTTCGTTTTTTTTTTTGACCTCAAAATTGTCTTTCTTTCCAGTTCTGTACCCTGTCTCTAGCTTAAGCAAACTCTGACTTTTGTTTTTGAGAATACAACATTTTTCGTTGCCTTACAACCTCAATTGAAAAAACATTTCTGGGCAGCCTCAAAAGGCTTTTTTTACTTTTTTTCTTGGCAGGTTTTTATACTTGTTATTGGCATTGACATTTCATAAAATATTGGGCTTATTAGTTGTTTGGATTAGCTGTTTTTGGGGTGTTTTTGAAAAATTTTACTGTAGCAGAGTTTTTAGAGTATATTTTGGGATATTTTTAGAAAATATTTTGAAAAATTTAAGAGTAGTAGAGTTTTTAAAATATATTTCGGGATATTTTTTAAACATTAAAAAAAATTTAGACTATTTTTTGGAGTACCTTTTAGAGTAATTTTTAAAAATTTTTATAGTATTTGAAAAACTAGTTTTTTAAAAACAGAAGAGATTACAGAGGTGGTTTGAAGATGAACTATCTTTTGATGGAGGCATAACAATCTTGTTACTCTTCCAATGCTCACATTGTTTCTCAGAATGATATGTATCCTATATGCACCACAAACTTTACATACCACAGTGTGACATTCTCAACTTCAGGCAGATGCCTCAAATTTTGTGCATATTTGCCTTTATTTCTTGATGATGGCTTGGATAGATATTCCTTACCTAAGCTGCATTTAAGTATGTTAAGACATCACTTACAGAAGAAGGGTATACAGATATGGAAAATCTGTTTTGTTTGTTTCTGGATCTAGTACTTCTGATCCCTATATCTGTTTTTCATGTTTCTAGATCTAGTACTTCTGATCCCTATCTAAATTTTGTCAAGCTTTATGTTGAAACTTCACCATTTACATAGACGATGTTGGGACTGTGCTTGTCAATATATATTTCTCATGTACCATTTGAGTTGGAGTTTGTATACAAAAATCACAGAAGTACTGCATAAACAAAAAATCTGTTGTAGGCGATTAGTCGATTGTAAGCATTTCTAGGTAACTTCCGTTGTATGGTAGGTCCAAATGTGTTTTTTTTTTTTTTCTTTTTGAGCAGTCCAAATGCGTTATCTCCATAAGTCTCTCTCTAGCTTTACTCCACAAATACTGAGGTGGAACTTCTTTTGGCTCATGTGTGATGTTGTTTGTGCTCCTCGGCAGCTTCTCTTTTCAAACACCAGAGGCTTGGAGCATAGATGGCAAGTACAGATCCCTGGGTTACATGCGGCCTCTGGCAATATGGGCAATGCAATGGGCATTGGAGCAGCCAAGACTTCCCAAAAAGGAGATGAAGCTAGAGGTTACGGAAGCTAGCTTGTTAAAGGAGCATGATGGTTTTTCACGAGTTGCACATGTTCTCAAGTTAGCGGAAGAGCAGGATAATAGAAGTCTTTTACAGATCATTTTCGATTATGTATGTAAAAGAATGTTAGCAAAACTATAAAAATGTAGAATGATGAATGGATCGTCCTGTCTAGGTGAGATTTATTGATGATACGATATTTGTATATATGCTTGTCCAATGTTCAGCATACAATTTCCAGAGTTTCAATTCTGTGTGTGAGCAAATTATTTACTAGGAACCAAAGAGAAAGGTCCCTCAAGCACTACTGGTGATAGAAATTTACTGATACGAGGCTCATAATGCTCAACATAGTTCAACACTTAAACAGAGGATGACAGAAAACATGTAAGAATCTTTATATTCCAGAAACATACTCACTGCTATGCTGTTATGAGGAAATTTCACAGGAAATGGTATTGCAGTTAAGGTAAAGATTTTCCAGAGTGTACTCTGCAATAGGGGAGAACTCTTAAGCCTACCAAATAAGGGAGAACTCTAAGAATTGTTGACTAAAGTACCAGCAGGTTTCTAAAGTTTTAAGAACTTGTTACGTCCCATGTTAAGTTTTTGGACCAATGTTGATAACTTTAGTTTCTGTTGATTTGATTTAAGTAGTTGAGGTTCTATTATTGTTGAGAAACTTGTAAGTTTTAATTTTGAGTGAATTTTATAAGTCACAATAAAGATGTATTGTATTGATGCAAGTAAGGTCTCATGCTTGACTCCAAACCTATCGATTACGGGTTTGGGCGTGACATTATACTAGCTATCTCGGATGCATGACGTATATGTAAAACTTAGAATTCAAATTAAAAGTAAGATTAGTCGTCATTATCTATAGTACACACAGTTATCTCTCGTTTGGTACGCAAGAATCGCCTAGAATAGAAAGGTCTTTTCGACTCATTCATTCCATTTTCCTATTTGGTATAGATTTTTTGAGTTGGAATTCCTGGAAAACTCATCCCAACTTTTTCATGAAAATTTCATTCGTCATAAAATTCTAAGAAAAGCTCTTTCCTCCTTTATCCTAGAATGTCCAAAATTATTGTAGTCAAATTTATCCTCATAGATCTCTTTGTTTTATTAACAATTAGTAGGCTTTTTGTTAGTTTAATTAATAATTGACCATAATTACAAACTATTCCAGTTATTTTTAAAATATTTTTTCTTTGCTAATTTTAAGATATTATTCTTTAAACTTCTGGGCAAATATGTAAGGATTCCTTTTTGGCACTTCACATAAATGGTAAAAACTAATAAATAGAGAATATGAATGTTTAACTTCACGTAATTTAATTTTTTGTAAGCTAGTGATTACATTGTTAATTAAAATCCAAAAATGATATAATATTATAATCAAATGATTTCAATAAGCACATAAGCCATCATAATGTACAAAAAAAAAAAAAAGAGTCAAAGTTCCTCATATAAAGTAACAAATGGTATAGCACGAATAAACAAAATATACAAAAATATGTAATGCTCAATAAAAGATTTCAGGGTAATTAAGTCAATTTTATACATATTTATTCCAGTTTGACCTCTAAAAATTGATTGTACCAGATACTGGAAATGGGATGAACATTTGATTCTAACATGCATACCAGACATTAGAATGAAAATTTTTTTTTCCATATCGTTCTAACTAGAAAAGCATTTTGAGTGGAAAGACTTTTCCATTCTGGGCATTCCGTAATCCGGATACGAAACATGGGTAAGAAAAGATTGATCCATTAAAAATCAATCATGCGGTAAGGAGATTAGATAACGATAGATTTGAAAAAATTAATGGCTGCGACTGGTATGTAATTGTGAAAATCACAACATCTACCAAATCCTTATATTCCAGTTCACAATTTTACAATGTCAGTTTCTTGATGGGTAATAACTAAATCCTATCTTTATACTTTTTAGGGTTAAAGCTACATGCAGCAAATTAAAGCTCAACTTTGCATTTTTTTTTTTCTTTTTCTTTTGCTACACGAATTTTGATATTCAGTACTTATTTGAGACACACACATGTAGAGTGTGCGTTAAGCAAGAATAAAGTTTGTATAAATATATCAGTCCTTTTTCGAGATTCTGTAGATGTAATTGCTTGGATCCACAATTTCTCCGTTTTATCATTGAAAGATCTAAAATTTTCTTTGGAGTCAAACCAATTTTTAATAAGATTTGATTGCTGGAAGACTCGTACAAACCTGTTGGACTATAATGATTCATTTGAATGAAAAATATGTTGAACATAAATATTATCTTTATTTTCTATTGATTTTTCAGATCTGTTAATTTCAAATCTGCATGTACTTGTCTCATATTTGATTTGATATATTCTCTCCATTCCTATGTATGCATTCTCGCCCAATATGTCCTTGTCTTCAGATAATATAGACATACACCATTTGATTCAAAACCCCACGCAATTCATTATTTTACCCAAACATAAAAACATAATCAATTTGCATTAGAGGTGTGATTATTACGCAGTAGTTCGACTTTATTGGTCTAATTCATTGATGCATCTTCCATGATCTTCACAATTTCACGCAAAGCATTATAAGATAAATTTGGCTAATAATAATGGACATGCTTAGTAACACCTGACTAATTATTTGTATCAAAATACCGAATTTGCTTTCAATTATAGAATAAATATACTTTCCGATGCATTAATGTACGCGTTAGAATCTAATCGAATCAAATCTAATAAATTCATCGCTCAATCGATTAATTTTGATCTTAATGGATCCAAAAAATGGAACTCCCAACGGATTCAGACAAAACTATGTTTGGATTAAACAGGTCGAAATTGGTTCTCGAAAATGCAATGTACTTTTTCCATCTTAATTGGGATTTTTAGCTGGCATAATAGTGTGTGAAGTCAACATCAAGATAAAGTTAACTATGTTCTTAACCACCATTTTGGTTCAACGATATCAACCAAGGAGTTGATTAGTCAACATGCAAATATAATTGGATCTAATCCTACTTAATTATCTTTCAACTTCAAGGAGAAGATTGGTATCTACGCAAGCAAATATATATATATTTCTTTAGCTCCATCGGTAATGCTTGTATTTCTTTAGACATGAGGGAATCATTACAGATTCAATATTCAAGCAGAAGGTAGACATTAGTACTACATACTGATCAAGCTGAAGCCAAAGACCGGTCCCTTTTTGATGGTTTGTTAAGCAGCAGATTCCTATTGTGATGAGATTCAAAGGAGCGGTAACAAAGCAGAAAATAGAAAAGGTTGATGAAACTCAAGATGGCAAGCAGTCAAGGTGACCTTCATTCAGGTTGTTGGCCAACCAGCTTGCTTTACCACCGGAACCAGTAATGCTATTGACAATATTCACCGGAAGACTCCCAAACAGGTTAGCCAGAGCCGATCCAAATGTATAAATTGCTACTCCAATACTGGACATGCTCTTAGGGAACTCCATGTAAAAGAATTGCAACTGTCCAATTGCATTCAGAGCTTCGGCCAATCCGAGAAATACAATCTGTGGCAGTAGCAGCATTGCAGACATGTCCACGACGGCATCTGGCTCGCCCTGAACCCCCTCATCAACTGCTTTTTTCAGCCTTATGCTCTCCACAATAGCTGCTAATACCATGGATATACATGACATTATCAATCCCATCCCCATCCGTACTATAGGACTTAGTCCTTGTGGATTACCAGTATATCTTGCCAAAAAGGGTGCTAGTAGACGATCGTAAAATGCAATCCAAATTGCCATGGTAATCACCATGAACAAAGTAAAGGATCCAGCTGGAACTTCAAAATTCAATATGTGCCTATCCATTGAACTCAGTTGAAGTGTTAGAAAAGAAGTCTGATCAATGATAACTAAGAATATTAGGCCTGTGGACCACATGGGAACAACTCCAAGGAGAACTTTAAGTGATTCAACTTGTTCCACACTGCAGAGGGTCCATTGATCTAAAGCTGTTCCATCTGAAGTTAATTCTGTGTCTGGATCTTGAATAATACAAGCCTTATTTAGACACCTGTATATATAGATATAAACTATCAACTAAAATAACTAACGTTCCTGCTTGAAATGGTTTCAAAGTGATTTTCTTGTAAACTTATATTGATCATGCAGAAAGTGTTTCTCCTATCTTGCCCTGAGTGGAGCAAAATGGAGACAGCACCTCCTAATTTTGATTACTACTTTTTTAGTGAAGATTAAGATTTTTTTTAAGATTTTAATAACTACAAAATTTTCTCTAGAAAAGTCATTAGTTGGCAGTGGCAGAAGATGCAAAAATCAGCATAACCAAAAGTTGCCAGAGTTTAAGGAACTTATGTGATGGCAATTGATACTGTGGCAGCTATACCTGAACTGCTCAGTGGGTGCTAGAAGCTCTGGCTTCCTGGTCTTATGGTAGCACTTGTAATTGTCTTTCGAAGGGCAATCAATTTTTCTCTTTCTGAATGCTGCCACGAGAACTTGGAAAAATCCGATTAACAAGCTTTCACTAGGTTTTGATTTGATGTAAAGAGAGGAGCCAACTAAGAACATCAGAGCAGAGATAAACATTAAGATGGCAGGGATTCCAATCCAACTGACCAGCCCAAACGATCCTGGGTATAAACAATTACAGTCATGGCAACAACAGTTGAGATTGTGGCAGAAGCATAATACCAGTTGAAATAACTTTGTATAACCCTCTCATTGTTGGGATTCTTTTTGTTGTCGAATTGGCCTGCACCAAAAGCAATAGAACAAGGCCTAATACAACCAGCTCCTACAGAAATTAGCAAAAATGAAGACAATAAGGAAACAATTTGAGCTCCATTTGGTGCACTGCAATTGTGCAACTGGTCACAAGGTAAAGGCTTCAACGGCGGAACCATAGAATGATAGAAGTCAGCCACAGAATAACCATTCCCTGCAGAAACAGACCATATTTTGATTTCTGAACAACCAAAAGGGGGACTAAGAATTAGATAAAAAATTCTTATTTTAGTTACCCAATTTTTATCATATATAAGTGGCAGGAAAAAGGAAAAATGTCCAACCACGCAGAGCAATACTAGATATGACAGAAGCTCAGATCATCATGGTGTGTTTGTTCGT